CAGCCGTCTGACCAGGTTGTTTCCAGTTTAAGAGGCTGTACCCGTCCTCGGAGTTTTTGTCGATCTTCATGATCTTGATCAGTAGTTTGGCGATGATCTTCTCTTTAAGTCCGTATACTCCACGTTCGCGGTCCTTGTCTGGGATGATGAGCCTGAAGGCCGGAAAGAAGTCAGGGCCGACCTCTTTGCGCCAACGAGCAATGTACCGTTGGATGATTGCACGCCGTCGCTCAGATGGAGATAAATTGGACTGGCCATCTGGACCTACTTTTCTGCGGTTGATGACGGCTGCCGCTGGCTTCTTTTGCCTGTTGTCAATCAGAGGATTGAAGAGATCCTCAAACAGTGTGTGAAAGGGAAGAGTCTTGCCGTGATTGCGAGGGCGGTTTGGGTATTCCTGGTCTAACCGTTTCTCAACATCTGCACGGTTCGGCACTTGTTCATGACTGGATTCATCGTGCATGCTCTCATCGTCAGACATCCTGGGATCGGGCAGAAGGTCTGCTGAATTGAAATGAAGTGGCCCTACGACCGCACACACATTCTTGCTGAGGTAGAAGATGAGTCCAGAGCACCATTAGGGGGCAGGCTGCGAGCTGCCACTTGACAGGCGTGGCGTGTCTCGTTGCCTATGCCTAGCTAGAACTGAAGTGACGCTCTCCCTCTGAAACGTGACACAGACGCGCCAAGACGCGCAATCACGTGCGCAGTCCCGAATCCATGCATCGCCGTCAAGGCCGAAATTGACGCTTACGGACCAAGCCTTACAGCTTCACTCTGCCTCCTCCTGTTTCTCTCCATACTTCCACTGTCTATTCCTTCGTCTCTGGTCATTCGTTCGGCAACGGGCTTCAAACCTTGCTACAGAGTTGGAGTTATTGAGATGTGACGAAACCCTTACTAAGCTCTCGAGACTTGCGCCGTGTGCCCCATTCGTTCTGCATTGTCCGATGCTCCGGCATCCTGTATCTGACCAGTTGTCAATGGATTGATGAGTGAGAAGCAGGCACGGCGTCCTCCTGTGGCGCCAAAGCCCTCCTTCATCCAACAACACAATGCCGCCACAACCAAACTCTCTCCTTTGCCCTCGCCCGCTCTCCGGGGTGCCACTTTAGCATTTGGAGTGCCTACGGTAAAGCCACCCAACATCTCCATCTCCGCATCACATAATCCATCTGCAGGAGCCCTGCTTGCAGCGACCACTGCCTCTATCAGGAAGCAGCAACAACAAGCACAGCAAAATGAGGCCGCGACTTCACAAGAGTCGGCTTTCAATGCCCGAGGTCGACCATTGACGACAGAAAAGCTACCAACTGCGGTTTCCAACAACTCCTCTCTATCTCCTCCCAAGCCTGGGCTTCGGCCTCACGCTGCTCGATCTACGTCTGCCGTTGCCGCCGTTGCCGCTTCTGCAAAGACAAGCCCTGTGCGCAGGCCGGAATTGAAAAGAGATCAGGGGAGCTCGTATTTGGCGAGGCGAGAACCGTCCCAGGTGCGAAGTCGAGGCATGAGCACAAGTAGCAGCAGCGAGACTGTCCAGTCACTGCAACAGAGCGCAGCTGCTCTCGCTGGGGCGAAGGCCTCGATGACAACGGCTCCCGTGCCAATCCAAAATGCCACGGGTGACAAGCAGAGAAGCGACTTGGGTTACCTTTTGAATTTACCGCTTTACTCTACTCAATCCTCGTCGGCTCCGAGCCCGTCAATCTCCGGTGCCACGGCAGCAGCTACGGCTTCTAGGAATGCCGCCAGTTTAGAAGCGAGAAGAAGAGCTCTGTCAACTTCTGAGGAGAGCAGCCCCAGCGCACCGGTGTTCCGCAATCTCCCTGCATCCCCTCAGTCGACTACCGGTTCGTCATGGCCACGTCTGCGAGTATCTCCCCCACAGACGGATTCAGAGAGCGACACTGGACGGTTGACGGTCGAACAACCCCCGAAGCCTCTACCGGCGCCCGTCCCAGTGCGCGCCAATCGAGCAGCAATCGTTGCACAAGAACAAGCAGTGGCTCAGGACTCGCGAACAGGAATGACTGCAAGTTCTTTGGCGGATGCCATGGTTGCGGGCTCCATTGCAGCCACCCATACCGGCTCCCGTGGAGCATCTCCTGCTTCGAAGAAGGTTCCGCCACCTATACCTCGTCGACGTTCGAAGTCAGTGGGCGCTTTCGGCAGCGCACGGCAGTTAATGCACCTTCCTGGGATGAGGAGTGAGACGATGTCGCAAAACCCCAAGCTAAAACCACTTCCCATGCGACCTATGAGGCAGACATTGCGGAATAACTCGCCCGAACACGACGAACCAGCAGAAGAAAAACGTGGGCGGAGGCACTGGAGGCGACATCCCAATATGCACCACGAAGGCGATCGCAGGCGGTGGAGAGACAAGGTGACGGAGCGGGAAAGGAAACGGTACGAGGGTGTGTGGGCAGCAAACAGAGGGCTACTTATTGATTATGATATGGACAATCCCGACCTGGAGGGAAGAAAAGATGGCGCCTCTCCTGGTGACCTGGTTGTCAACATTGTGGTACGAGACATTTGGGAGCGAAGCCGGTTGCCCAAAGATGTATTGGAAGAGATCTGGGACCTCGTGGCGCAGCCAGGGGCCAAGACGCTCAATCGGGAGGAGTTTGTGGTGGGACTCTGGCTCATTGATCAGAGGTTGAAGGGCAGAAAGCTGCCTGTCAAGGTGTCTCCGAGCGTGTGGTCGAGTGTGCGCCATCCCCAGGGTGTCAAGATTTCGAGTAAAGCGCTACACAAATAAACAGGATAGAGATATATGGATAATTACACTTTTGGCATGGCAGTTTGCCGTCAGGGGTGGAATAGACAGCCAGTCAAGGATAATAGCCGGACCAGGGACAAGGCGAAGCCCCTGAGGTAGGGTATCCACGGCAGCCTCAAGGAATGTTGTACGGAGTATGTATTTCTACGCAGGAATATCGACTACCCATCTGCCCTTCGTGCATACCTAGGTACGAGTATGTACATACAGTACCTCGTCACCTCGTCACCCCGTACGAGCACGAGTACAACAGATCAACATACCTACTGTATTACAGCACAAGCAGTACCTCGTGCACGCACGCGCAGGTCCGCACCAGAGTACCAAGCTCGCAAGGAACGTACGTACGTACATACGTACGTATGTTCATATGCAAGTGCGCGAGTATGTAGATCCCCAGGCTCTTGGCTACGCACCTGAGCTGCTGAGCACGTACATACTGGTAGATCAGGGGATTATCTCGGTATGGATGTACATAATCATATTACAAGGAAAGGATGCGCAATCGCAGAGATCGAAACGCACCGGCACCAACGGCACCAACGGCACCAAGCCGCGTCCCCACAAAGCCCGGAGTTCTCATCCAGAGTAACTCGGTACCTCGTACTAAAGTGTCAGAGCTGATTGATTTCTAAAAAAAAAAAAATTCCCGCAACTAAAATTTCAGGTTCCTCGGGGTCTGAAACGGAGAAATGGGAAAGGGGGGACAAACGGCGACGAAGAAAAAAAAAAAATTGCCTCGCGTGTCGTTGTGAACTCGGACGAGTGGTGGGCGGGCCGGCCGGGTTCGCGGGTGGTGGATGAGAGACTTGGAATGTACTCGGTACCTCCGAGGGTACAGGGTGCTAGGCTGTAGGTTGTAGGAGTAGGAGTAGGGAGAAGGAAGAAGGAAGAAGATCATAGGAAAGGAAGGTAGTTGGTGGTAGGTAGGTAGTGGTGGTATATCGTGTCGAGGTCTGCATTCTACACACCTACCTAGGAATCCATGTACTACAAGTAGGTAGGTAGGTACATAAGTCTATAATATGCAGTACTTGGTACTCGTAAACTCTATCCCCTCGGAAATGCCTCTCTCACGCTCCTCTCCCTTCCTTTTCCCCCTCACCTCTAGGTACGTACCTAGGTATGTATGTAGGTACCGAGTATATACATACAGATAAGGACAAGTTCACGGATGCGTAAGCGAGAGGAGAAACAAAAGGTATCATTCTCATTTCCAATGCATTCCATCTCACTCCCATTCCATTCCACATGCATTATATTTATTGCGCGGCCACTTGTACCAAGCCACTGACGAGGTACGTACCAAGTACCAAGTGCTCGCGCGAGGTGTTGGATAATGAAACCGCCGCAAAGTATAATTAACTAAATACCGAGTATTATTTCCTGCATGGTAGGGGTGGGCGGTGTCCGGATGATCGATCCACCGTCGATCGCTGATCCCCCAGAAGAACACAAGACGACCCAACGCCCCACGCCAACTGGGCGCCGAAAGCCGGGCAAATAACTAATGGATCGACACGGAAATGGAAATGTTGGTTCGGTTTTCAGCTTAGAAGAAAACATCAAGATCGGCTGCAACTCGCAAACTGGGAACAGAATTCAGATCATTGATGTAACATTTGTGTAATTGATTTCTTTGCATTTCCATCCCTATCCCACAATTACAAGTACAACTAGCAAATCTCAGATCCCTCATTGAAGACGAGAGAAATAGACAGTAGTCAATTAATAATGTACATAGCCGTGGATCGCAGATCTCAAGTCTTGCCAATCCCCACCCAGGACCCCATACAGCTGAGCATTCCCAATATCTCAGATAGATACCTCCATCCCTTGTCCCAGGCTGGCTTATCAAAAGCCACGACTACTGGGGTTCGGTAATGGAGATGGCTAATGTCCCATCTGAGGTGGCGCTCATGCTCGATCCCATTGGCGGTGAAGCTTTCCTTCTCCCCGGTCATCGACGATCGGGTCGTTCTTCCAGTGAAGCTTCCTTGATAACGCTCGACTGCTCCTGGTCGCTGCATCTCGTCGACGGGCCTCCGTAGCGTCAAGCTCAACTGGAGACCCAACTTCGTATCACCAGCTGGTGGCGGAACTGCAGCGACAGGAGAGTAGCTTTCATAAAATTCGTAGCCTTGCGGCTGAACAGGTGCTCTCAAAGGGGTATCAAGTTGTCATAAAGGCGTAGCGAGTTGTGGAGGCGGTCTATCTAATCGTCCCCTTCAACGTCAATGGCCGTCTCTCGGACTGTGACTGGTCGGTTTTGCTTCCAGCTCTGGTCGTAAGTCGACTTGGCCGTTGACGGTGGTGGAGGGGGCGCTCGTCTCCTTGGGCTGGCAGGCGCAGAGCTGGACTGGGAGTCCTTGTTCTCCCCACACTGAACCACACCGGTCTGAACGGCGTAGACTTTGCCGTTGCTCTGGGACTGTTGCTCAATCGTCGTCTCGTCGTCAACCTCGCAGTCAAAGATGGCAATCTGGTCGACAGACGAGGCATCCTCGTATTCCTCGTCGGATGCCGAGTCCTCGAATGGATCGCTGTCCGTGTCGGACTCGGAGTCGACGACCACGGTTTCAGAAGGAGTAGCAAGGTCACGCGACCATCGTCGAACATTGTCGACGATAGAGGCATGCAGGACTATGCGGTGGAGATCTGGGGTTTGTCGGCGGCACTCCCGGTCGAGTTTGGTTTGGGAGAGGTGGTAGACCTTGTAGGCCTGGATGGCCGGGTTGGATGATGTGGAAGCCAGCATGGTGAAGATGTTTGATGTTGTATGTCGTCGACAATGGTTCTTCAAGAACGTCCTGATTGTGGGTTGGATATGGCACTTGACCTCTGGTTGTGAGAAGGAGAAAAGGGCTTACAGAGTGGGATGGGACTGAGGAATATATCCTTTTTGATACAGGAGGGGACCCGAATCAATCAGCCGGGGTAGAGGCCGTGGAAATTCAGGATGAATTACATAGGCAGGCTAGTGCGTCTGCAGCTTCGCTAGGCGAAGTATCATGCGCGAGGGTGGCTCAAAGCGCAATAATTTCGGAACTGGCGGGCGGGTGACTAGGGACGCCCTAGCGGGGGAGCCTCTAGTCAACCAAGGGCAACGGGTGACGGGAAAGGAAGTCGTGAGGTAAGCATGCACGGCGTCGTAATGGACAGGGCGGAGGAAGAGGGTGACAGCGCAACATGCAGCAAGTCAGTCAGTCAGTGGTACGAGGATTCTGGGTTGCTGAGGTTTCGGCGGCCGCTTGTCTTCTGTTGCATGGTAAACTTTGTCCGGCCCAAGGATCAAGCGCTGGGATACGCCATGGACTCTGGGGGTGTTTTACATTAGCCTAGGATGGAGAAGTGGCTTGAGATGGGAGCGGTGGGAGAGTCGTGTTTCCGAGTAGAGGGTAGATGTGATCATAGTCATCATCAACATGAGAAATTGTATACAGGAGAGAGTAAGTGGTGTTGGTGAGAGGAGAGGCGCAGGCAGATACGCACCCGTACCCTGTAGCAGTGCCAGTTGCAGTTTGCAGTGCTCGGTACGCAGTTCTACCCCTCCACTCCTGCCTCTTGTGAGGCGTAGTAACGTGACCAGGCCACTAACCACCTGTTTGCTCCCTAGTAAAACAAATGACGTAGCCCATCTCTGCGTCCATCGGCGGCCAACTTTCCGCCTCGTTCCTCCCAGTAAATTTTCTCTCCGGTACAAACTTGACAATTGTTAGACGCCTGAAAACTCCCCTCCGGCTGCAACGCAACTCTACAACCGCGCGTGCCAAACACATTCCACAATGACGGTCGACGGTTAATTGTTCTGGGAAGGTGCTCAGATGTCTCAGACCACCGATTGCGGTTAAACCATCCTTGTCTCTCAATGTTCCATTCGTGCTGTACTGAGGTGCACAGGTACACCGCCAACCTTCACCGAATCCCCTTGAGGACGTGTTTGTTGGTATCTTGATGACCTGAGCAATGCACGGTGGGACAACTCTGAGGATTCTAGGCCCGCGTATTGTCGATCTTCACCAACTGAACCTGGACCCCAATCACAGAACGGGCTTCCACCTCCGCTGGCTACTCTTCATTCAAGTCCATCCAACGAGATAAAACTCGCTGAGTAGGTAACAAGGTTTCCTTACTCAGTGACTGAGGCCCCCGCATCATGCAAGACCGTGTGAATGACCCTGTGCAGCAATCGGGTGGCAGTTGAGCCAGTCAAAGACTCCGGCCAGCACATCCCACTCCTTACTTAATCCCTAGTGCTCCTTCTATCTACTGACACACCCGACACTACTTCTTTGGGATAGTGGCTCTAACCTCTCTCGGTACGAATGCCTCGTTCAGCAGTCTTCCAGAAGGTGCACAGGCCGCCCTCACGGCACACCATCCGTTCGTCACTGTTTCAGATTATGCGCGTCCTGCGCACCCAGTCTTTGCTGACCTTATCTCCTTCCACCTCGACAAACTCGTAGGAACTACCGAATCAAGAAACCTTCGAGAAGAGTTCGCTAAAGCCCCAGTCCCTCCACAATCCTTTCTTCTCAACGGTATACCTGTTCTCTGCGACTTCCTCAAGCATCAGTCCTGTTGAAGGATTCACGGTCCCTGTCACAGTGTCAACGAGCTCCATCAAATTCCATTCCCGGCATCCTTCTAGAAGTCCAATATATTCCCCACAAGCGGATCGACAATCTCCACTGAGCGGTTTTCCATCCGGTGCGACCCCGAACAATGGGCGTCTTGTACCTGACTGCCTGTCCAGGACTCTGGGTTTTTTTTTTTTTTTCTTTTTCACACGCGCGCACTGCGCGAAAATGGGATCCCGCTTAATGTCTCATTGGAAGAGCGAGGGAGGATTCTTGACTTCTTGATGTACCATCCTTACCTTATACGGACTCGAACAGCGAGCGTCCAACCTTGTTCGCTCTATCCACAGGCTTTGACTTGTGGGATACATGACCGTTACTCTGCGCTAAGATAGGAGAAGAAGAGATGGCTCGTCACTGACCAGATTGACTCACTGCTGTAGTAGTTAGTCTCTTTCACCCACTGGCCGAGGAGATCTTTCCTCGAGCTGGTCTCGGAGATCATCTCCTCGGAACTCCGCTGGCCATCAGCCATCAGAGACAACCCCTCGTTTTCGGCACCAGCTCCGGATCTGGTGCGAGTCTTATGGCTCACTGCCTTTTGCACAAATTGATTGGTCCTTGTGTACAATTCGCGCTGTTGGTTCCCTTGTATTCGTACACGATTGAATGATCTCGATGACAGTGCCGACAAAACGCCTTCATTATGAGCGTTTTTACTCCCTACACCAACAACAGTGACACTCATAGACCAGAAAGATTCTGCAAGGTTGAAGCACGGACAATCTCGGTATGAGGTCACCCATTGAATCTGTCGGAAGCCACCGCCAAACGCAGGTAACGTGCAATCAAATATCCAAGCAAAGGGGAATGTGTGAAATTCCTAGAAATGGTTAGCGTTCAGATACCGGCCATTGAGTCTGAATCCTACGAGTCACGGGGAAATTAAAAGCACCCAAATGTCCAGTGTTTGACACCAGCCAGCCAGATCTGCAATGACATATCAACGCCCTGCAGAAGAACGTGTTCTGGCCTCAGAGGGCCTGCCTGATGCGGTAGGCCTTCGATGTCTGACATGGCAGAGGAACTGATTATATCTGCCGTTACTCAGCCTGCGCCCCCACCAATCTTGGGGCACATTCGCTACATTCGCTGCACTCACTGCACACTCAGCACATGCAGGGGTTGACTGTGTGCCATGACATAGTGTCCAATGGCTCCCTTTATTCAGGCTAATACTCGTTTTTCTGCTGCTTTATCGCACCGTGCAGTTGAGACTCCCAGAACTCTATGGGACCACGGAGTACGTACAAGGTGGGTAGGGGAACAAGGCAGCGACACGGCGGTTGTTTGGCCTCGTCTCTTGTTTTAAGACCGAGCATCTAGCCTTAATCCAGTGTTCTGGAAATGGATAAAGCCTGCTCCTTGCCTGAGCAGTGGCTTCATCCCTCACATGATCGAGAGCAATGAGGCCGCCCTGCCAAACCTCTTGCCAAATGTCGACAATACATTGAGCAACTGCGGTAAGTACTCCAGCAAGCACGCACCTGTCAACAAGGAGTGCAGCTCCAATTCCCGCCACAAGCGTGCTTTTAATGCCCATCTCAACACTCTTAACTGGAAACTCCATGGCGTCCGAATACCGGTGTTACAGTCGGAATTTTCCATGTACAGCCTCCCCAGAAAGGAATGATGCTAGATGAACCCGCTTGATCTCCGGACAACCGACTCACATGGTGTTGCATCTTTCATTTCGACGCGATTATGCACTTTGATCCTTTGATCTTGGGGATACGAGTGAATGCAAACGTGGCCAATCTGCCAAGATATTTCGGGAGAGTTTCCTTTACGAGGCGACAGGCATTCCTCGGCCAGCAAGTGATATCAATCCTGGAGAACCTCCAGATGAAGCAGCAAAACCAACCAATGTAACATGTCAATCACCTCCCTCCGCCATTGCCACCAGGCGTCCCTCGATGGAGAGATGGCCCCGAAACGCATCATACTCCGTTTCCACGAGAGATACGAACGGGATCCCGCAACGATAACCCAAAAGTTCTTTGAAGCGATCAATATTGATCCCCAAGACGACTACTTCCCACATCTTTGTCCTCCGGATGACTCCACAAAGATGCACCTCGTCATCGATTTGTATTGCAAGTCTTTCCCCTCGGTGAACCTTGATCAGGTGTCCCACGAGGTTTACAGAGTCAAAAAGCCGGATGATGACTTGTGAGTTTGACGCCCGAGTTTCAGGGGGAGAGACCTGCTGGACTAACCAGAGTCAGCACATATAAACAGCTCTCCAATGCGAACCACGAGGCTCGCGCACGTTGTTCAATACTCCGATGGGGTACAACTGACCGAGTCTGAGTCTTAATCATCCGATGAATCGGACGGAGTACGCCTTGCGCATTTGGGGCATTCACCCGTGAGATTCCTGTCTTGAGCATCAAGAGACAGGGGGATATCTCTCATCCGTCTGCTAGGCGGTACACAAGGAGTTTGGCTCGGTCGCGCCTGTGCCGCTTGACAAAGAATGTATTCCGCACGAATCACATGTTGAGGGTTCTGCCTACAGCTTTGAAACGTCTTCACTCGGGTTTCGCAACCGCAGTTCATGTTCGAAGACCCGACGGGTTGATAGGTATGTCTCAACCGGCGTTGTGTAGACAAAAGGCGTGCCTAAAACGGACGGATTTTGTTGACTTGCGCCAACTATTCCCTTTCCACGGACGTCGGAAATCAGAAGCGGAAGCAGAAAGGCGGGCGTGCGGGCTTTGACTCTTCGGACTTTTCTCTCTCTCCCAAGCTAACCAACCCCCCTTGACTGCTGCCTACCTAAGTAGCCAGAAAAGCGCCACTCGTCGCTCCCTGGTCGTACGGTTGCACAGTCGCACGGTAATGGGTCGCGTAGCGTCATGTACATCGACGGTTTCGGCTTCGGTTCTGGTTCGAGATGGAGTGATCGTTCGTATGCCGACTGGGCCTGGACCTGGACCTGGACCTGGACCGTTACACAGAGAACAATCAACCTGCAGTAAACCACAAACGAGAGAGAGCATGTCGAGTAGACGGGAACAGAGTAGAGGCATTACTGGAGGGAGCGCAAAGCGGCGAGGTATCGCCTAGCGAGCTGGGTACTAATGTTGGCGTAACAGCCCGATCAAGTAAGCCTTGAGTAGCACGACAGAGGTTGACTGCAGTCGTGGTGGGGATGGTATTTTATATTACTGACATACAGTACATATATCCTGATATAACATACATAAACCAACATAATATATTATAATGTTATACATATAGACATAGATATACACATACATATACATCATACATACAATCGTCACTTCATGTACTCGCCGCGAGGCCAAGACGTTCCCGATTAGATACGTGTTCACGTCGGCTTAGTCTATCGAATTCAAATCTACAGCAAGTTAAGTTGCAACTTCTATCAACTGTTGGCCTGGCCCATCGTTGTTTGACTGAATTATGTCGCCTTCCCTTGCAATCTCTTTTCGATTTCATCACAGTCTGGTATTTTTCTTCTCCAAGTTTTTTCGTTTTCCAAAGCCCCCTTCTTTTTTTTGGTTGGTTTTTGTGTGTTTTGGACCGTTTTTCTCGCTGCCAACGCCTCAAATTCGCTTTTCTTTTCCCTTTTGTCTTGATATCTTTTCTGGTCATGGTTTTTTCTCTTCTTGGATTTTGTAAATTCCCGCCCAGATGCCGATGTAGAGACTGACGTGAAAATTCAACGCGTGGCTCAAATCGAATAGACACCCCTCTGCCACAACTGTCGCCGCCAACGTCTCTTTTTAATGCGCTAGCACAAGTGCCAACAGCGCCATTCTCGTGTACAGCCCATACCGCATCTGTCTGAAATAAGCTGCTCGTTGATCAAAGTCGACTTCCTCGCTGATCTCCCTGTTTCTCGGCAACGGGTGCATGACAATCATGCTCTGCTTCGCATATTTCAGAACAGAGTTGTCCACAATCAGACTATCCTTCAATCTCTCGTATTCGTCGAGTGAGGGGAACCTCTCCTTTTGAACACGCGTGCAGTACAGAACATCGCTTTTGGCAACGATCTCAGGGGTGAGCGTTTCGGATTCAATGGCCAATTGACCCGAGGACACAATGAGATCGCGTACATCGGATGGCAAGGCAAGTGCTCTCGGTGACACGAGGTTGATGCGCACTTCATAGTACTGGAGAAGCTTGACGAGGGAATGAACCGTACGTCCGTACTTGAGATCGCCCGTGAACGTGACCGTGAGGCCAGTGACAGTACCCAACTCTTCACGGATAGTGAAGAGATCGAGGAAAGCCTGGGTAGGGTGTTCGCGACTCCCATTTCCGCCATTGATGATAGGTACCGGAGAAAACTTGGCTGCGGTAGCAGCCGACTCTTCGTCCGGATGACGGAGTACTACAGCGTCGCCATAGCAGCCCAGCGTCCGGATACTGTCCTGTAGGGTCTCTCCCTTCTGAGTACTCGAGTGATCGGTATTGATCGCAATCGTGCGCCCTCCTAGCCGTTGCATGGCAGCATCAAAGGACGACGATGTACGGGTGCTGGGTTCATAGAACATGGTGCAAAGAACGCGAGATTGCAAAATGGGAAGGATGCCTTGTCGTTGCACACCCAGGCGCATTTCCTGTGCCACGGTGAACAGAATGTGTAGATCTTGACGATTGTATTGATTGACCGACAGAACATGGCGATTTTTAAAGGGTGACGAAGCAAGAAGAGAGAGTAGAGACGGTGAAATAGTGGAGGGAGGTTGAGGTTGGTACAACGCTGCGGTTGGAAGGACCGGAGTGGTGGTCTCTAAGAGTTCTTCCATGGGGCGAGCACGGACAATCGGCCTACTCCTGGTGCTCATTGAGACGCGTCTGTCGCTTAGACTCTCCGCTTGTGCTTGAATGACTGGAGATCCTGGGCCTCCCAATGTCGACAGAGGATGGAGCAGGTGTGAAGACATGTCGGAACCTCGAGGATCATCCAAGAGTGCTTCACCGTCGAGGCAAGTGGTCTTGCCCTGGAAAATGACTCTGGATACTGCACCCCGCAAAGTCCTTCCGACAAACGGCGACCACACCTCGCCAGCTTGCAGCACATAGGGGCGGTCAATGTCAATTTCGACAGACGTCGAAGGCTGGTCATGAAGCTCAAAGATCGCCGTTGGGTTGTCGTGCAGACGTGTGGTGACATCCTCCACGGTCATTCTACCTTCAGAGACCGCCGTAAGGAGTAGGGGAAGAGCATCAGCAATTCCCACAGTGGGCACTGCATTATCGCCGGCAATCTGGTATGGTAGGCTACCAATCGAGAACACATCAATTGTTGGCAGATAATCCCACAGAGCTCGCTGATCGGCAGCCGTTGGAAGCGCTGAACATTCGGGAAAGTCTGACTGCGACAAGAAGAGGCTGTAGATTGACACATCGCAAGTGACCTTCAACCCTTTCTCCTTGGAAAGGGCAATCAAGCTAATATCGTCCCGGGAGGTGACATTGTGCACGTGGACTTTTCGGTCATGTAGACTGGCCAGCAAGAGGATTGATGCTAGATCGGTAGTTTTGGCATCAGTCACAATGGGTTTGTATGATGGCCAAGTTCCAAAATGTGCTGTCACAGTCGCAACTTTGTTGATGTTGCCAGAAGAGAGATGGTTGAATGGAATGAAGAGTGATCCAACCTCTTCCTTGACATGGACGATCTGTTCAGAATTGGAATCGGTGGCCGCTACGGACAAGTTGAAGTCGCAGAATGCGCCACTTTGAGCATTGTACTGTGCGACTTTCAGAGAGCGAGCGTCAGTGACAGCGCTATCAATACCGACAGGCATGACCCGGACCATGCTGAAGCCTGCTGTAATGGACGCCTTGGTAACAAGGGAGAAATCCGAAGATCCCCTCTGAGCAATACCGGGTACAAAGGCGGCCACGTTGACCAACCCTGGAAGAACCACGGTCCGATGACTCGTTTGAAAATCGATATTCCGGATGTTCAGATCATAATGCCTGGCCAGTGCTTCGATAAGGATCTTAGCAACTTTGACGTTGGTGATCAAGGGAGTTTGATAGTCGACAGCCATCCTTCGGGTCCGATAGCCTTTGCTCATGTAGTTGGCAGGCCTCCTAAACCTATTGTTGGAGGGTAGATTGATGTAGAGATCAATCCTGTTACTGGCCAGGTGCTGGGTCAGCGAATACTCCGACTTCTGGTCTTTGTCGTCTCCAGCAAGAACTTCCAGGTATTTGACTTTGATGCCGTGCTCCTCGAGGAAGTCAGCCGTCCCAGACGTTGCAAATATATTGTATCCCAAATAATGTAACTTCTGGACCGAGGGCAGCATTTCCTGCTTGTCTTTGTAAGACCCAATCGAGAGGAGGATGTTCTTCTCGGGTAATTTGAAACCAGTCGAAATGGTTGCCTTGAGGTAGGCTTCGTATCGATCTCGTCCAAAGCAAGCAACTTCTCCCGTCGACGCCATCTCGACGCCCAACACAGGGTCTGCTCCAGACAGACGAGAGAACGAGAATTGAGGCGCCTTGACGCCGACATAATCGGGAGGCAGATTGATGAGCGGATATGGAGTCACAGGTTTGTCCATCATGACGTTGGTCGCCATCTCGATGAGATCCACACCCATAACTTTTGAGACAAAGGGGAAGGACCTCGAGGCTCGTACGTTACACTCGATGACCTTGATTTCGTTGTCTTTGGCAATGAACTGGATGTTGAATGGCCCCGTAACATTGAGAGCATTCCCGATCTTGCGGGTTGCTTCCTCAATACGAGCAATGGTCTCTGGCTCAAGGTCTTGTGGCGGGCATATGAGAGTGGCGTCTCCTGAGTGAACACCGGCATTTTCGACATGTTCGGAGATGAAATGCCCTGTCATGACACCGTCTTTCGCGACGGCATCCATTTCAATCTCTTTGGCATTCTCGATGTACTTCGTAATCACAACGGGATGTTCTCTGGATACGGCAACGGCTTGGTTGAGATAGCTGGCGAGATCGTCCTTGGAATACACAGTATTCATTGCTGCTCCTGATAGAACATAGGATGGCCGCACGAGCACGGGATACTGGACCTTCTCACAGAACTGCAGCGCATCCTCGATGCTTGTAAGCTCTTTCCATGACGGTTGGTCCACCTTGATTCTGTCCAACATCCGCGAGAACTTGTACCTATTTTCGGCTGAATCGATCATCTCCGGGGATGTTCCCAGAATCTTTACATTCAATCGATGCAAAGGCAAGGCGATATTGTTGGGCGTCTGTCCACCCATCGAGATGATGACACCACTGGCCGATTCCAGCTGATAAATGTCCAGAACGGTCTCTAAGTCGATGTTCTCGAAATATAGCCTGTCGGCTTCATCGAAATCGGTGCTGACCGTCTCGGGATTGATCCATTCGGGAGTTAGCAGGGGCCGTTGAAGTACTGAATAACAATGCGAAAGAATAGAAACCAGAGTGGGCTGGGTGGAATGAGTTGCGATGAGCCGAGCTGAGTGCTCGACCATCGACGGTCCAGAGCTCCTTGAAAGACAGGAGCGGCCAGAGAAACACAAGAAATGAGAATAGTTAGCTTACATTGACCATGATCGTTTTGAAGTTTTGTTTTCGAAGAGTGCGGATAGCTCTGACTGAGCACCAATCGAATTCCACCGATGACCCAATCCGATAGACACCAGACCCGAGGACCATTACTCCGTGGTCGGTGAATGTGATGTCGTGCTCCGTACCATTGTAGGTCAGATATAGATAATTGGTAACGGCGGGGAACTCGGCTGCAACTGTATCGATCTGCTTCACAAAGGGATGGATGCCCGCCTCAGCTCGTAGACGTCTCACTGCCAGTTCGTTCGAGTTCCAGTATCGAGCTAGCTGCCTGTCCGAGAATCCAAGTTGTTTGGCTTGCCGAATCATTGCCGGAGGAATGCTACTCGCTGTGAAGGTGGACATGAGTTTGGCGAAATCGCTTAGACCTTTGAGTCGAGAAAGGAACCATTTGTCAATCTTGGTCATTTCCCAGATCTTGTCCACAGAATACCCCGCGTGCATGGCATTGGCGATCGCAAACATTCTTTGGTCTGACGGCGTCTGCAATTCATCGTCGACTGACATTAGAGGGTTGGAGATGTCCGAGAACCCAAGATTGTGGACATCGACAGAGCGAATGGCTTTTTGAATGGCTTCTTCAAACGTCCGGCCGATAGACATGACTTCACCGACACTCTTCATTGAAGAACCGAGTTGTGTAGATACTCTGGTGAATTTCTTCAAGTCCCAGCGGGGGATTTTGACGACAACGTAGTCGAGCGAGGGTTCGAAGCAGGCACATGTCTTTTTCGTGACTGAATTGGATATTTCGTTCAGCGGGATCCCCAGTCCGAGTTTGGCGGCAATAAATGCCAGCGGATATCCTGTTGCTTTCGAGGCCAGAGCTGAAGATCGAGACAATCGAGCGTTCACCTCTATAATGCAATACTCCTTGGAAAAAGGGTTGAGAGCGTACTGGATATTACACTCTCCCACGACACCCAGATGGCGAATCACATTGACAGCTGTGGTTCGTAGCATGTTGTAATCTTCATCCGAAAGAGTTTGTGAAGGGGCAACGACGATCGAGTCCCCTGTATGGATCCCCAGGGGATCAAAATTCTCCATGTTGCAGACTGTTATGCAATTGTCGCGGGCGTCACGCACGACCTCGTATTCGATCTCTTTCCAGCCTTTCATGCTCCGCTCGATGAGCACTTGCGGACTTGCGGCGAATGCTTTGGTGCATAACTCGCGCAGCTGGCTCGGATCCTCAGCAAATCCACTGCCAAGTCCCCCCAGTGCGTATGCAGCTCTGACAATCACAGGAAATCCAATATCTTGGACGACTCGCATTGCCTCTTCCAGACTGGAAGCGGACGCTGATTTGGCACATTTCTCTCCAATTGACTCCATGCTTCTGGCGAAAAGCTCACGGTCTTCTGTGGTGATGATAGTATCGATTGGGGTCCCCAGGACTTGTACCCCGAGAGCTGCAAACTCGTCCTTGAGTTGAATACCAACTTGTAGAGCTGTCTGGCCACCAAACGTGCAGTAAATTCCGTCCGGCCTCTCATACTTGATGACTTTGCGAACAAAGTCTGCGTTGACAGGCAAAAAGTACACCTTGTCAGCAAGACCTTTGGAAGTTTGTATAGTGGCAATGTTCGGATTGATCAAGACGGTGTAGATTCCTTCCTCCTTGAGAGCTTTGATTGCTTGACTGCCGGAATAATCGAATTCTCCCGCTTGGCCGATGCTTAGACCACCGCTTCCGAGGACAAGGACTTTCTTCACCGTAACACGAGGATGTGCTCGGTCGTTCTCCTCAATCGTTCCACCTGGGAAGGATACGGGGCGGAATAGATAATCAACAGATTCAAGACTCTTCATGATTGCATCAATGAAGACATCAAACAGGAATTCGGTGTCTCGGGGTCCAGGCGTAGACTCAGGGTGAAACTGCACGCTAAAGTATGGTCGAGATACATGTCGGATGCCTTCATTGCTGCTATCATTTGCGTTCACAAATAATTCTTCCCACCCTTCAGGGAGGGTCATGGAGTCGACGGCGAATCCGTGGTTCTGTGAAGTAATGTAGCATCGTCCAGACAATAGGTTTGTGCAGGGGATGTTGTGGCCACGATTACCAAACTTCATCTTCAACGTCTCAGCACCAGCTGCGCGAGCAAGTAATTGGTGACCAAGACAGATGCCAAAAATGGGGGTTCGGGCTTCCTTCAAAGCCTCTGAGATGTGCTTGATAGTTGTTGAGAGCATTGCGGGATCTCCGGGGCCGTTGGAGATAAACAATCCATCGTAATCTTTTCCAGCAAGAGCCGGAAAGTCATAATCCCATGGCACCACCAGAGCCTCAACCCCTCGAGATAAGAGACAGCGAAGTTGGTTGTACTTGAGACCGACATCGACAACCACGACGCGAACAGGACGTCCAGAAGGATGCAGCAGAGCTCGGGTAGTGGGAGGCGAGATGACTCGGGGCTCCTTCACAGATACCTCTGCCACAAGATTTCTCTTGTTCTGATCATGCCACTCCACTCCTTCAACTTGATCTTGCCAGTTTTGCGGGCCCATCACTACGTCTCCATTTGAAAGCCCACCAGGGTTGATACCATTAGAAAGCTTTGATTTCGGAGAGGGTCGTGACTGAAGCATACGGCCAAGCATGCTCCCTTCTTCTCGTATTCTCTTTGTCAGAGCTCTGGTGTCGACGCCACACATTGCCGGAACACCCTGTTCCTTCAACCAGGCGCCGAGAGAAGATTTAGCCAGGTGATGAGAATAGCTCTCACCGGCATATGAGGCAACTACCAGGCCTCCAATGTGGATCTGGTCGGATTCGAAGTATTTGGGAAGATCGCCCAGCAGCTCATCCAAGGTGTCTCTCGAGGGTACACCATAGTTGCCGACTAACGGAAAAGTAATGACTAAGATCTGTCCGCGGTAGGAGGGATCCGTGATAGACTCTGGGTAGCCGACCATACCGGTCTGGAAGACGAGTTCTCCAGAAACGCTTTTGTTGGCACCGAAGCTCAGGCCTTCGAATACCTGACCATCCCGGAGCTCAAGGTAGACCTTGGGCTGGTCACCATTAAAGGGCTGAGGTGTTGCCATAGGGTTGAGAGCACCCAAATGGTCTCCATCGATCTGAATGGTCGGGGAGAGGGGACCATCGGCGCTGCTTATTCCAACGGAGGCTGCAACCGTTGGGCTTTGAGGTAGATTACTGTCTCTAGATACTGGACGATGGCCATCGGTGTTCAAAGGGACTGACCGATTCATGATGAAATAAGAGGACTGCTGTCAGCGCAGCAGGGCGACAATCAAGGGTACATTTGAAGCGTATGGGGGCGGTAGGGATGAAGTTATGTACGAAGCAGTGCCAACGTCGGAGCTGTATGAAACAAAAGAAGATCAAATTGCATGATATTGCTGTTCCAGGAGAAATTGAGACACTTGGACAGTGCTGAGAAAGTCCTTTTTTGATGCCAAGCAATTTTTTTTCTTGTCACCCAATCAGGGGACGGAACTGGCCGTGGCTCTCCGCTACTTACTGCAGGTGCCCGGCTTTGGGTCCAAGGGGCCACCCGATGAGATTCGAATTTTTTTCAGACCCTGCATCACTCCTTTGCCTCATGATTTCCTGGGACACCTGGTAAAGACACGATGAGAGGAGCGGATCATAAAGCTCAAAGACATACAGGCGACAGCAGGTGATGAATCGGCATGACGGAGAATGTCGAGGCTATAGCGTTATATACCATTGCAAACCATACCACCGTACCATGCACATGCTTAGACACCCACTGCGGCTTCAACCTTTCGACGTTATTTGGTGCTGGGTTCATGGGCTTCAAGTGATCGAGGATCCGATGTTGCTACCCCACGCTGCATCCCCATGACCTCTTGCATAAGCGGCTCTAAGCGTGCAGGTCACCCTCGGCATCTGGGAGGCGACCCCCAATCACAAGCCTGAAATGCACAAACTCCCATCCCCAAAGAGCCTTATCTGCAGCCCGTTTCCCTGATGTCACCAAACATTTCGCCTGCACCCATCGCTTGTGCCACAACTGACGACTCGTCTCACTGATACAATCGCCGTGATCGCCCATCAAATTCCACCCTCCCACATTCTGTACATGCAGATGGAATCCCGTGTGTCTTGATGCAATTGTTGCTTGCAGCAAGCCATGGGCCACCCCACGACTGCTGCTAGTGGTAAGGTTCAGGGTTCTTCTACCAGGCCAAAGCGGGACTGGCAGGGCGCACCTGCGCGCTGGTTACCACTCGCATTGTGCTCCCTCTGCTCGTGCAAACAGAATATCCCGCATGCCTCGACGCTGCTATCAGAGACTCACCGACATAGTTCCTCACTCGCCCCTCCCTCTACTCGTTCTTCTTGTTCTCTGGCTCGTTGGTGGTTTTCTGCTGCTGTTCAAAATGACTATCTAGGATTGAGTCGTGTTGTCTGTTTCTTTTTCAGTCCGGGGTCGCAACAATTTGTTTACGCGTCTTGCATTCTAATTTACCTATCCATTGCCTGATCGACTATCGCCCACCGCCCACCGTGCGCCACACCTTCCTGGTGGCTTATTGGTTCGATTATGATTTCTTTCTCTCTGACACGCGCTCTCCGAGGCCAGAGGCGGCGGGAACGGTCACCTTTCTCTTCAACCTACACTCGAACCACACAATCCCCCGAGGCTTCACGCCGCCCGACTCGAAGAAGTTGGGGGCGACCTTCCCTACACGATCGTGTTCCCTTTTCTCAGGAAGACCATGATCAAGACATCGACGACGAAGGAGACGGGTCTGAAGATGACGAAGACGAGGAGCAAGAGGAGGAAGAGGAGGTAACCACTCAAGAGGGGGAAGACGTTGGCAACGACGACGAAGACGACGAAGACGGGCCTGACGATACGACGCCCCTCCTTCCCATATTTTCTGCCGCTCGTCTCGATGCCATTCCCGTCTTTGCCCTCACGCACGCCATCCGTTTGTTGGTGAGCTCCCGGTGCGATACCGTCTTAACCTGGGAGCAACTTCGGGCTCCCCAAGTCTCGCAATTCCTGGTCAAGCCTATTGAACAGGAAATCCGACGCAACCATCTGAACGCTGCTACGCATTGTGCTCTCATGGCAAACTGCCTTCAGTATAGCAAAGAGGCTGCCATGTCCTCGGGTAATAGTGGGACAAACAAAACCCGTGCAATGGTCTGTGAGCTGGTGGCCATCAAGCTTCTCAAGGACTTTTCCACGAGAGAGCTTATTGACGCATTGTCCTATGACTTTGATCCTCTTCAAGGGCAGTTGGATGCGATGCCTCAGACCGAACACGAACGAAGGAACACAGCAAGCTCAAAAAAGCCAGCTCAAAGGCCGGCAAGGATCTCGTGCTTTGAGATTGCCATCCGTGCCCAGGCTAAAATGTTTCTCTCCCATCCCATGGTAGTGAAGCAGCTTGAGGCAATATGGGCTGGCACAATCGTGTTTCACTCGGCGGCCGACAGCCTGCATAGACCGGTCCCTACAATAAGTCGATCGAGAGGTTACGGCACAAATGATGGTGGCTTGTCAGCAAAGTCCGCTCCTATCCACCCTAGTTCTTGCACACCAAGACGAGCCGTCACGCTGTACGATCCTCGGGATGCTTCTCTTTTCAAGTTGTCCCGGTTGCGGGTTCCTCGATACCGCAACATCCTATCCACCTTATCCTTTGCTGTTCTCCTGAGCTTGTTTGTCGCCGTGCTCGTTCAACGCTCTCTCGAGATCACAACGCTCGAAGTTGTATTCTGGTTCTGGGCGGCCGGCTATATGCTCGATGAGATCGTTGGATTCAATGAACAAGGATTCAGTCTCTACATTGCCAGCTTCTGGAACACTTTCGACCTGGGAATCCTCCTCATCCTCGTCATCCACCTGGCACTGCGACTCTACGGGATTCTCATGCCGGATGTCAGGAAACACATGGTAGCCAACATGGCCTACGACGTCCTTGCGGCCGACGCTATCCTACTGTTTCCACGACTGTTTTCTGTGCTAGACCATTACCGCTATTTCTCACCGCTTCTGATTGCCTTTCGATACATGGCAGTGGATCTCATCGCCGTCTCACTACTCATTTTGATCAGCTGTAGTGGGTTCTTCGTTGCACTCACCTTGTCATTTGGCAACGATGGTATTGACACTCCTAGTTCGGTGGCTTATGCTCTGCTACAAATGCTCATGGGTTTCACGCCAGCCGCTTGGGATCGATGGGATGGCTACAATATTCTGGGAAAGATGATTTTGACTTTGTTCCTGTTCATCTGTCACTTCCTTGTAGTCACCATCTTGATCACTGTACTGACCAATTCCTTCATGGCTATTGTCCGAAATGCGAGTGAAGAGCACCAGTTCTTGTTTGCGGTCAACACCATTTCTCACGTCAAATCGGATGCGCTCTTCTCTTACGTCGCACCAACGAACATACTACAGTGGCTTCTGGTCCCTCTCAGGTACTTCGTCCCCTTCCGTCAATACGTCAAGATCAATCGGACCATCATCAAGATTACGCATTTACCCCTGCTGTTCTCGATCTTACTGTACGAAAAGACCATTATGCAGTCTACCGTCTATGACAGTATCGATCTTGTCGAGCGACGAGGGCGTGTGAGAAGAACGACAAAATTTACGCGACTCAATCGAGCACCTTCTATTGCTACCTTTCGCCAGGACAGGGCTCTAGAAGAAGTGTTCAGGCAGCCTTTTGACAGTACCATTAGAAATGCTCATGATAGTCGGGACCGGCGCAAGGCTAGTAATGTGGTTAGCACGTGGATGAATAAGATGGGCGACGACGTGGCAGACCCGCCGCAGGAGCAAGACCGGCAAGTTGTCGATAGGCTCGAGGCTAAGGGAACGATATCTCGCAGACCGCGCCGCGTCAGCCGAGCTCGCGACTTTTCTCGCCAAACCATGTCAGTCGCATCTGACCCCGAGGACTTCACGACCAACCAAGGCTTCTTATCTCCAGCCGAGACAAATCCCTTACAGATTACACCCACAGCATTGGAACAGCCGGCGGGCAACACCGATGCGGAGGGAGATGATGAGATGCCGACACATGATGATGGTGATGAAGAGGAAACCACAACACTGGAGCACCGGTCACCGAGTGATACAGAACCGGAACAACACAACGCCATCCCTCCCATCCCAGAACATCCGGACTATTTTACAAGTAAGCAGGCTCCTGGAGACTCTGTTCTTGAGGCAGATCACTTCCTTGCACCGGTTTCCCAAGTGAAGCTGGAAAAGCCCCGATCGGGTACCGATTCGCCTTTGCGACGCCTTCCCAAGGAGCAGGCTCGTCATCATTCCCGCAACGTGTCGGCTGCGACCATGATTTTTAAGCCCATGACGGATTCCAGCACGGAACAGACTTCGTCGGTCGAAGAGGGCAAAGTTGCACCGCCTAGGGCGCATATTTCAGCACCTGGATCAGGGGCTCGCACTCCTGTCTCGAAGCCTGGGTCTAGTGGTGCGGGCCATAGAACGCCAAAGCGAGCAGCAGGCCCAACTCGGATGCGACCAATCCTTCCCACCAAAGACGAACAGGGTTTCAGGTCAACGCCGAATTTGGCAGGGCTGGTGTCCCTTAAACCCCCATCCGCTCAACTGCGGCGGAAACCGTCCCTCGAAATGGATCTGGTGTCGGATATTGGTGACAACAGAGCAATCGGCGGAGGCTATGTGGGAGCACTTCCAAGCTCATTTGCGGTTCACATGGTGAAAGGAACAATCGAGTCACGCCATGAAAAAGAAAAGAAGGAACAGCAAGAATTGTTTACAAAAATCATGATGGCGCGCATGAATGCCCTTGAAGAGAGCTTCAGAGAGGTAATTCATGAGATGAGAGACCATATGAGACACGATGTTAGGAGCAGGAGCCGTGGAGGGGGGCCACAGCCGAGTGGCCGAAAGGCAAGGACCCGGGAGGAGGAGGTCGATCGAACACTCACGGCAAGTAATTATGCAGAGGCTACTACACCCCGAGCGAGCTCACCCACCAAGGTGGCAGAACCCTCGCAAGCGCAGCAATGCACTACAGAAGGTGGGAACGGGCAAAGTGAAGAACAAGATACGAGGACGCAACCACACTCCACTTGAGGCTCACCTGGGGGTGGTCTTGGGAAACTCTTGAATGCGGTGCCGCATTAGACTCAAACGGCGGGAAGCATTGATATCACTTTTGCCTGAATACGAGTATATACCCTGATATATCGGACATATTTATTCATATGAGAAGCGAGATTATAATACTTGCAAGGCTGAAGTGGAGAGGGTGAGAGGCTAACAGTTTCTAGCGCAACGGTATGACGCAAGTGCCCGATGGGGCTAACTGCGCCTTCACTGCCGACGGCTCTCTGCGTGTTACCACTCACTTTATCCATCAGGCAATCACGTTCATCCATCCTTTGGTCTATATCACCTACTTCCTATTTCCTTTAGCCAATTCTCCAAACCTTACGACTCGCGCATAGTTGACGAAAGCTACGTATAGAGGGAACTCACCACTGTTGCGCGCCTTTTCTCCCTGTCAGTCAGTCTCAAACTGCGTCCGTAGCACCTCAACATGGCGTCGAGTTCGAGCCAACCGAGCCAATTGCTCTAGTAAGTGCCATTTCTGCACACTTCACGTGGGACTATACTCATTTTCATATGATAGTGCATGCATCGCCCATGGAACCACCATCCTCACCGAGCACACAGCCCCTGGCACCTCGTCGTCTTCGGCCTCGTCGCTCGCCTCCGTCATTCTCCCCAAGATCTCCCATTCCACCCCTGCGAAACTTACCTACACACATGATCGTCTGTTTGTTCACTACATAGCGGACTCGCCCTCCTCAACCTCGAATGGCTCGGACGAGCAGATATCCAGCCATGCAGCCATCACCTACCTGGTCGTCGCCCAAACAGAGATGGGTCGGCGAGTGCCCTTCGCTTTCTTGCTGGAGCTCAAGAAGAAGTTTTTGGCACAGTACAAACCTGAGTCTACCGATTTCTCGTCATTGCCCGCGTATGGCACAGCGGCGTTCAATTCTACCCTCAAAGCGATGATCCAACAGTACAACACCGCACCACCGAGTGATGCACTGACAAACGCCCGTAAAGAGATTGACAGTGTCAGGGACATTATGACTGAAAACATTGAGCGGGTCCTGGAGAGGGGCGAGAGGATTGACCTGTTGGTGGACAAGACAGATCGTCTGGGAGGCAGTGCGCGGGATTTCCGTGTGAGAAGTAGAGGATTACGGCGGCAGATGTGGTGGAAGAACGTGCGGGTGATGGTGCTGCTCGTGGTGGTTGTCATCTTCCTGATATATTTGTTCGTAGGGTTCGGCTGTGGATTGCCAGCCTGGAGCAAATGTGTTGGTTGAATGAATATGGTCCATTGCACGGGTCCTTCTTCTGGCTTTCCTCTTGGTTTCCATCGGCTATAGCTTGTACTTTTATGTGAGTTGCGGAGGACTGTATCAGTTGGCCATAGTCATTGCACAAATACATCAAATTGTGAGTCTTCGCTCTCTTCCTCTTCCTCCTCGTTCATATTGACCTCCGTATTTGGGGCAACAAGGCTCCCCCTCTAACTAAGACCCACCTGGAAAGGCACCTAGGAAGGCGGCGGGAGATTTAGGTAGGCTTTCCGGAGCGGTCGTGTATAGCGTATAGCGAAAGGGCGCTGTAGTGGCTTGGTTGGATCAGGATGTCTCCCCCGCCTCCCTAAGCCTCAACAGGGCCCCAGGGTCTAGCATCCACACCAAAAGAACCAATGACCAAGTGATTCACAAAGGATAGGCACCGGATGGAGGAGTGTGATGGGCTGAACCAGGTGTGAGCTGGAGTTGAAGAATGGCTCACCAGGCAGACACCAGCGAGTCAAATGCACATTGTTTCTTTCCCTTTACCCCTCTACAGCCTCTTTTTTCTTTGTCCAACCTTCTTCTTCTGCCTCTTCTTCCCCTTCCCTGTATAGCACATCTTTCTGCTCCTGGCAACTCTCGTCTCGAGGTATACAAGGCTTACGACAGCTGCATGACGAACCCCTGTACGACCAACTCATCGCGTTCCAGCCCTTCTTCACCCCAACCTTGCACGGACGTTGTTAGTATCTGACCGAAAATCTGAATCAAGACATCTGCAGGACGTGGTCGACAGATGAACAATATATCACAGCCTTGTGAATGACCTCGAAAGCATCTACCATTCTACAACTCCTAATACAAATTCTCGCAACCGCCTCTGAGCCTGCGCGTCACGACGAATTTTCAGGCATGCCACTTTGACCCCAGAAATAATGGCTTTCTCTACATTCAGGGCACTACCGATTTCTGGAAACGATGTTACTTATGGGAATGGGCAAGAAACTTCTCCCACATCCTCGCCCCAACCTGTCTCTCAAGACACCCCTGCTGCCGTGACCTTTGACAACCCACCAGTAGCACTTGCGAAGAACCGTGAGGACCGGGATTTTGACCGAGCTATCGAACTATCTCTTCAAGATCAGGCCCAGGCAAGGAAACGATCAGATGCCCTACTGGGCTCAGGTCACCGTCGGTTGCGGTCATGGTGTGAACCATCAGTGGGCCTTGTCTTGAGTCTCAACAATGAGTTCACACCCCTTAACGACAATTCGGGTGACACAGCCATCTATTTCGGCTATCCCCCACAAATGCCAGAGCAAAGCGACAAGGACTATGACTATATCAAGCACCATTTCGATCGAGTCCATATCGTTCAAAGCACGAACCTTCGGCTCATGGGTGACGGGTCCAGGTTTACAGAAAGAGATCTCTTGAATCCCACCAAGTCATTCCGTGCTGAGAGAAGGCTGAGGAAGCTCGGAGTCTTGAATACTGCTGAGGCTGCACACGGGGGAAAGTTCAAGTACTACATCGACCTACGCCCACCCAAAGAAGATGACGAGGCTGTCGTACTCATAACTGATCTGACCTGTACGCGCGGTGTGCTCACCTGGCACCTGGCGTTGGACAAATACGATCTGTCTCCTCTTGCTGTACTCGGCCACGACGAATTTGGTGTTCAGCCTTATGTCAACGCGTTGGTAAATCCGGTGGCTTCTTCTCAGAACACTGAAACTACAGGCCCTACCCCTCCTAGTGCTTCCAACACGACCAAGACAAGATCGAAGAGTCAATCCTCGGGTGACAAACCTGCATCTACAGTCTCGGCACCCCAAATTGCTCCAGAATATTCTTTGCTGCGGCATTGGTCTGCGATTGAACGAGTGCTCCAAGCCATCCAAGGGAACGATCCGAAGCTGGACTCTGCCCCAAAAGTCTGGACCTTCTTCGCTGTTGCTCGCTACCTTGGCTGTGCTAGTCATGAGCGGATTTCAGGGTGGATCATGACTTGGCTGTATACAGGGAGTAACAGCAACTTCATACAAAACAACCCGGAAGTGGCATATCGTATTGCAATGGGCATTGAGTCCCCGGACCTCATTAAAGATGCGTTCTCCATCCTTGTCGGCGAAAGAGCGCTTATTGAAGCTTGTGGCGAGTTCAATCCCGAGATTTTGACCCTCCGCAGCCAAAGCGTACACGGTCGAAAGCTGGAGCTTCTGGACGATGATGAACGCAATCGAATTGACCACGCTGCTTCATCTTTCGTCTCGCGAATCCGTGGCATGTTTTACGGTCTGTGTCAAGACATGGACTTTCTTCATGAGAGCGCGACCTATACTATGCTTGACAATGCTGTGGGACAGACTCCGCGTGCAGTTGAAGCGCTGAAATCAGCCAAGAGCACCGTCAAGGACTATATCAGGTCCAGAATCTATTACGTTCTATGTCAGGATCAAGGAGATCTTAGCAACCTGGAGTCGGATCCAAAGTCAACACTCCCATTTCGATCGGCTTCTGTTGAGGATTACGGCACAATCTATCGGTCTTTGCATCCACCAATGAGACATTTCACGAAGACATTCTGGTTCGCATTGGAGCACACTCAATTCGTGGAGGGCATGCACAACACGTCCAGCAGCGGCACGATTGGCTGGAAAAATGACACGGAGCACCTCAAAGCCCTTAAAGGGCTCTATAAGATCGATCCTCTTAATGGCATTGTGCGAGTTCCGCGGTCCACCCTCAACCGCAAGATCATGGTCGTCAACCAAATGTTTTGCAGTCAAGAGATCATTCGTGGGACACGCTCTCCCAAGCGTCGGAAGACTATCGAGTTCGACGACCCTAGCCACAATCCATGGAATATTGAAAACCCGATATTCCTCCCAAATGAACAAGCGCCCGTCAATCCTTCATGGATGACTGCTTCAACACCGCCAGGACCAACCATATCTGCACCTGCCACTGAGCATCCTGTTTTCGCACTGAGACCCAAGTCGATAAGTACAGGAAGTTCCTTACAACAGACCAATAACAACATAGCCTACAACGCCTGCCGGATACTGGAGGGTATGTCTCAACATCCGAGGCAAACACCACTAAACCATGAAGGCACCAGCGGCGTTACCGGATCTCAATACGAGCAGGTTGCCGTGTCCGAAAATTATTCAGCCCCGGCGGCGCTAGTAACAGCCGCAACTACGTCTTCCTCATCTTCAAACATATTTTTCGACAGTACGGCCGGCGAGTATGAAGGATTGAATATAACTGGAGACACGGGACAAATGCATCATAATCAGCCTGCCATGTCTACTCCTCGAACCGGCAATCGCGTCAAACAATCCTTCTCCAATAGCAACACTGACAATGAAGCCACCATGCCGTTACCTCGCAACTATTCCTACCCCATCGATCCAGGAGCCTTACTTAATGAGGTCAGCAGGGCGATTGAAACAATCTGTTCAAGGAATCTTCATCCACCGCATCTCTTCCACCAGACTGGCTTGTTACCTACGGACCTCTTTGACAACCTTCTTTGCCTCAACGCCAATGAATTCCGCTATCTGCCACTCTGGGACCCTGATGGCAATGACGACGGAACAGGAGGGGTGTTTGAGGAAGTACCCGTGCCGAATCTCGATCCTCTCCAAACAAGCATCCAGAGTTTTGGACCGGGACGGATCAAGCGAGGATTCGATCAAGCGGACACTGAGGCGGGCAGCGAAATCGAAGAGATCACGAGTTCCCAAGCAATAAGCACGGTCGGCAAGGCCAGTAAACTCGCCACGGACGGCACTCGGACGGTGAAGAGCGTGTCGAGTGTCGGCACCATCACGGTCAGCAGAGAAATGGCGCTTACGGATCTGGATGATCTTGAAGTCGTGGACCGCAATGTCTCTGGTATTGGCAAAGTTGCCGTCGGGACGGACATTGCGAGTGACACGGATATGCTGAGCTTTGACGAACTCGACAACGACGAGGACGACGCTCATGATGATAATGATGACGCATTCGATGATGGAGACTCATTTGTTGGCGATGACAACTGGGAGGGCGAGCGAGCAGAAGGACTGATCCCGCGACCCGACATCTCTGCGAGCACTAACAAGGACACGGCCAGAGATGGAGGTCAATCGCGTCGTCGTGCAGAAACTGTCGGCAACGATGAATGTCAGACCGATGACGGCAGCTCGGACTTTGAGACAATCCCAAGGGCAAGAGCAATATCGATAGACGAGGACGAGGACGAGGACAAAGACGTGGACGGGCTCAAGGACAGTGGAAAAGGGAAGGCCAAAGTACAAAACTTCCCGCACGGATTCGTCCTCCCAGATCTGCCGACCTACAACCAGGCCACCGACACGGAGAGGGAGCGAGTCTCCCCTCTTCTTCACCACCCATATCACGAACGTCCTCGTCTCAATCCCCACTCTCACGCATTCCACCACGTCCGTCGTCCTGGTCCCTATCCCCTTTCCCATCCTCATCACGACCACAATCACAACCACAACCACAACAACGCCTCAGGTTCGAGTTCCAACTCAGTCGTCTTAATCGAGAGGGACGACAACCACCACCATATGGAAGAGGAGGAGGAGGACGACGACGACTTCGAACTCATCTGAAACCAACGATTGGCCAGCCCGACCTCGAAACTCGCACGCGCTGGCTGACCCCTTTTCTCTCTCTCTTTTCTTTCCGTCTCTTTCTTTTCAAAAGATTCTTTTCAAGAATATTAATTACAGCGCGGGCCGAACGAATCCGGCAAGTTGGCGAAACCAGGTACTTATCTTATTGGATACTTTCAGGGAGTCAAGGAAAAGCGGTGGGTTAGCAAACAGAAACAACTTCAACGACAACAACGGTGCAGGGTTCATTGGAGCTGACGGCGAAAATTACGACTGATCATGACCACCAAAAAAAAGGAGAAAAGGTGTGAAACATAATACATAGCAAAGAATGCTGATGATTTTCCAACAACCACCTAACAAGAGGACGTGATCCTTGAGCATTCGAGCCCGTATTTGCAAACATATTTCTGATCAGGATTCTGCCTGCTGCATTATCGAGCTAATGGTCCGGTGCACTATCTATTATCACTGATGCCTCTCGATCCCATGTCAATCTGATACTCTCCAGTGCCGAAACACAGCCATCGCTGTCGATTCCTACCGACCATCCTGAACGTACCACGCCGCGCCATAAACCCCTACTTCCCTTGCAAAGATAGCAACACAGTGTTTGTGAATCGAGTAGTTTGTTGAATGAATGGTGTAGAGTGGCCAAAAATGTTAGATGGCTATTCAGTACAGTCGTGCGGTGAAAAGAGAAAGCAGGGAAGTTGACGGTCGTATGGGGTTGTGCAGGTGTGGGCGCGGATTCTCCTCCTGGGATTCTGTCCTCCTTCACGATATCCAATTACGGGCATTCACTGATACGGGTGTCAGTCCTGGACGGGTTCAGCAGATTAAATCGATGTCGCTCACTGAAATCTCTTCCATGCCCATGTCATCGCCGGCACTGGCTGCGGGAGCAGTACCATTAGTGGCCGCAGGTTCGGTAGTCGTGCCCACTGCCGAGGGGTTGTTACCGCCCCAGTAGTCGGTCATCTCGGCGTCGAGTTCTTCAGCAGTCTTGGGTTTGGCTCTAGGGTTGCGTCCGCGTTTGGGCTTCCCGGGTTTGCCAGCCGATCTGCCCTTGACGCCGTCCTTTCCGGTCACCTTTGTTGCTGTGGCGGACTTCGGTTGAGCTTTGGGGTTGGCGCTGGTCTTTGTCAGTGGCTCTGACTTTCCCGAGCGTTTCGATGGGTTTGCGTACGCTACACGTTCCGCGAGTGACTTGGCACGAGCCGGCTCCGGAACACTGCTAGCGTCCATCACAACTTCAATCTAGTCGAGGTCAGGAGAGGTCCATGTACGGTGTGGATGATGGCCGTGCTTGCCTTCATTGGTCGCTTGTCCACCAGCATTCCGTTGAGGTCTTTGGCCGCTTTGGCGGCAGAGTCGGGCCTCGAAAAGATGATGTCGGCAATGCCACGGCTCTGACCATTCTGATTGTACTGCAAGGAGACCTTTTTGACGTTGCCTACGGACTTGCCGAAGTATTCCTGTTCGTCCGCGTGTGATCAGTAAACTGCTGGAGAGAAGTGGGAATAGCATTTCTTCCGCATCGTTCGTCCCCAGGTAAGAATGCAGCAAGAGATGTTTCCACAGTAGAGTATAGTCCAGGTGCATATCCTTGCGCTGGAGCACCAGCGAGTGCCAAAGTATCAAAAGCAGCAGCAGACCAGCAGTCGAATCGTGTATCACCGTCGGCATCCAAGGAAGTCGTCCAGGTAAACGGGTGGTAGAAATGGGTATGCATTCTGACACCAACTGTTGGAAACGCTTCGGGGTGACGATAATAACGTATCCAACTTTCCACCAGACGATATGCCTGCAGGATTGAGGATCGTTGTTGGGATTTGGGTGGGAGGCAATGCAGGGCGACAGGATCCTCGTTCAAATGTCTCAATGCAGGGATAGAGAACAAGACTGCCCCGTGCGAGGTCCCGGCCCTTAACATCGGTGAATGTGTGTTCGTGCAACGTTGTCGGGTACAGGATGAACCAGAAACCCGGGGGACAATGGTTAAACGCGATAGATCGTACTGTGCTGCGCTGCTCTGCTCTGCTTTTGGAATGATTGGGTGCAACCTCGCTGATGCCCCAGACGAACAAGGTGAGAGGGTCCCAAAGCATCTCAGCATATTGAGAACTCCTCTGGGCAGATCTGCATTGGTATCTCACACGGTGGCTAGCCGGCGAGAACCTGCAAGACCATAGCGAACAGCAATTTTCACCCGATTGCTTCGCAGAAAAAATGCGAGCCAAAGGTGATGAGATTGTTGCCTGCCCCGGATACAGCCAGCATTTCAGCGTGGCGATACTGTCCTTGAGTATGATCTCTCTCGTCTTGACATCTTCCCGCATCTTTCTCGCAACATTCGACTTCCTCTTATCGGACACGGTTCGCATAAAGAGCCAAAGAATAACAGGCGGTGGCAAGCGGCGATGGAATCCAAGGTCGAAAGCCTCTTTATCAACATACCTTGATCTGGGCTTCGTTGACGTCGAATGGCTGTAGAAAAGGTCAGCAGAGCGCCAGACGTCATGAGGCAGTCAAGGCAGAACGTACCAATCCACTGACAACGATCTTACTTGGGCGGGATTGAGATGCAGCGCCGGCAGATGGCTTGATAGCAGACTTTGCCGGTTTCGTCGCCTTTTTGACACCACCGACCGGAGCAGTTGGGCCACTGGACTTTGAAGCCTTGCGTCGGCGAACTTCGCGCTTCGCCTTCTTCTGGCTATCAATAATGGAGTCGAGAGATTGATCTAGCCTGCCAGACATCTTGAATGAATAGAAGGAGGTGATTTGGAAGGGTGTAGAGTGCAAAGGCGGAAGGAGTGGACGGTGCGCGCTTTTGTAGGCGTCAAGCGAAAGCTGTCAAGTTGGGTTCACTTGCGGGACAAATTGACCACTAATCGTTGAGGTCTGTCCGTCTGCGGCGAGATTTGAAGAGTTTGAAGGAGAGATAGAAGTATGACAAGGAAATATGACGAGGAAGACGCGCGCGGCGAAAATTAAAGATGCGCCTGGATGGTGGTGATATGGACTGATAGCAGCGACGATGGTGAAGGAGAAGGCGAGACAGAAGGAGAATGAAGGGGAGTCATGCCAAAATGATGAATGCGGCTAAAGTTAAGGTGAGACGCAAGCAGAGCAACAGGCAGGCACAAGGAGAGAGTCGGATGCAGCCAAGCAAATGCTAGTCCTGATTAGGCAATGTCGTGTATCGGTGTCACGTGACATAGTCATAGAGATGCTTGCGCCCATCAATGCGCCCTGTGTCTCAGGCCCGCGGGTTTACAAGTAGACAGCTTTCGTCGACGCCGATAATGTTGGAATACTCTACTCGGTACCTGACCCCAAACAACGCCATTCATGTGCCATCGTCTCGAAACATAGCAGTATAACTTTGAAGCTGCAGAGGATCATCGGCCAGGTCAGCTCTTCAAGGCCTCGAGTCTCCCTCGCATCTGCTCCAACTCTGCCTCTCTGTCCTCCTCCGGTTCTTCCTCCTCTGCTTCTACCGGGAGTTGCGGTACTTGCTGTTCTGGTGTGCTCAACTTTCCCTTCAACACCTCACCTAGTACCTTGTCAACTTCTGTCTCTGCTTCTTCGTCCTCCCCCTCCAGTAGCTCATCGTTGGGTAGAGCATCGCCGACCATCTCTTCAATGATGCCGGCCTTCATTAACTCCTGGCTCAGCTCTTGCATGGTGCCGGTCAACTCCGGTAACCTGATCAATGTATTCACATCTTTCATTATGCGAGTGCTCGCTTTTAAACTGCCTTCGATCTTCCGGACCGAAAATGCCTCGTTCACTTGCATTTGCACGCTTTGCAGTTGTGCTTTACTGGTATGCAGCCTTGCCGATTGCTTCCGTACCTTGATCAACTCTCTGGCAAAGATTCGTGCTTCGTCGGCGCCTTGTTTCGCCTGCGAAGGGTTTTTTTGTCCACGCTTCGCAGCATTCAGTATAAGAGTCCTCGTCTTCTGTTCTGTGACTTTGAGGTTGGTGATATCCCGGTCCAAGGCACGCACGTTTTTCCGGATGATACTGTCGCATTTTCGTTTCTGAGGTAGGGTTAGCCTGTTACCAATCTTGTAAGGGATTCAAGACGAACTTGTTCCTGGGGATCCGGCTTGAAGAAGACTGCCTTGAACGATTGCATTGTGACGATGTTTTGGAAGTAGTACTGTATTTACTCAGTGGCCTGGCTATCTGTGCTCGAGCGATAGGAGCTTCTTGTGGTGAACTACAGGGCCATGCTGGGGATTGGGCCAGATGCCGCCAGCGGCAGGCTTGAAGTGAAAATGGAGGGTGGATGTCTGCGGTAGGACTCAATCATGCGGATAGGGAATAGAGCGAGAGAAGCGGAGCGTCTGGTTGCTGTCCAAAGTAAGTTGTAGGGCTGATGAACGGAGATCAACAAGAGCAGTTTGTAGCGAATACTTCGTCACCTGCAAGTGTCAGTGGAGGAAGGTTGACAGTGGTGGGTAGGCCCAGTCAGACACACTCCGTTACTTGGCTGGAAGGGTGACCTTTGGAGGATGAAGCGCTTGGAAGATGTCACGGCCCACGGGTGCCTACGTCGAGGGGGAGGCGAAAGTGGGGGGTAGAGCACAAAACGTACGAAGGCAGTCACTATGTACCTCGTACCAGTTGTGCGGCTACGGTACCTGAAGAGCTGAGTGGGCGGCGGAACAGGCACTGAGTGCGCAGCCCAGCAGTCCCCGGGGGCGCTTTCGATGTTATTCGTTGCACTTCGAACAGCCTCGTCCCTTTCACCTTAGACTGATCGCCCACACACAAATAGTTGAACCTCTCGCAGCAGACTTGAGTCAAAGCAAGGCAGCAAGCAGACTTTTCAATCTCCCATTCTTCTCACAATCCGGTTTCACGTCTACATCTTGACGACACTCTTCCTCCCGTTCTTCACCAACACGTTTCCATCCCTTCGTACAGAAACCCCTCTAATTCGCCTACCTCAACTATGTCTAGCCAGGTTACTCCAGAAGGTAAATCAACCTCTACCGCAAAGATCTCGGCATAACAGCAATATGCCCTTACGCTCAGAAATAAATCCTTGACTTGGAGCTGATCAGAATACTGACTTGGATTGTCGACAGTCCTATGGGCGCAGCGCTCATCCGCTACGGAGCCAGAAAAGAACTACATCTACCTAACAATCAGCGTGCCTGATGTCCCCCCCAAATCTCTCAAACTCGATCTTAAGCCCACCGGGCTCACCTTCACTGGCACGTCAGAGAGCAAGAAGACCACATACCACCTTGAAATGGAGTTTTTCTCCGAGATTGACGTGGAGAACTCCAAGACGCATCACACTGGTGCCAACATCCAGATGATTCTTAGGAAGAAGGAACTCAAGGAGGAGTATTGGCCACGCCTGCTCAAGGACCCCGCAAAAGTACACTATCTGCGCACAGACTTTGACAAGGTACGCCCCGAACGCTCTGAGTCCTTGACCTGGCCGTTTACTGATCTGTCTCCGTTTAGTGGGTCGATGAGGACGAACAGAACGAAGCACCCGAGGATGACTACATGAACCAGTTTGGTGGAGGTCTCGGAGAAGACGGTGGCTTTGGTGGTATTGACTTCTCCAAACTCGGCGGGGGCGCTGGCTTGGGAGCAGAAGGAGCAGGTGCTGAGGGTGGCGACGACAACGAAGAGGAGGATGATGATGACGACGAGATGCCCGATCTCGAAGATGATGAGGCCGAAGGTGACGCTAAAGGCAAGGGCAAGGGCAAGGAGGCGGCATGAGTCGCACGTTGGGACATCAGACGGTACGGTACCTCCATGCACGGCGTCGAAGCAAGCCGATCAGAATGGAGTTCAGACCCAGCCATTCTTGCTCGTTAATGCCAGGTCCTCGAGTCAATGCTGCATACATCCAACTCTACGAAAATTCCACCATCAGGTTTACCTCTTCCTTCTCACCCGACCCGTCAATATATGAGCGAGCGTTCTTGTATTGTCACCACATCCTCTTAGAGTATCTTGGCCACTTGCGTCTTTCCTACCTCGACACCAAGGCTGGAGCGCGGCTCTACTATTAGGCAACGAAAGCTAAGGGGCTCTGCTGTTCTATCGGCGCGACAATATTATAACACTTTCTTTTGTCCAGTTGCAGTGGTACCCCAGGAATTTCGGGGAAGGAACTGTCATGGGGAGATGGGTTCTGGGAGAGACGGCAACGAATGGAAAGGAGTGCTCCTCAATAATCATTCAATCAATCATGCCACTAAACCCGTCTATCTCGAAAGAATTGATTGAGATCCCCTACATAGTCCCACGTAAGATGAGTCGCTGAAGCGCCACAAAGGTTTTAGGAATGAGCACTCGTGCATGTTGAAAGGTACAGCTGCCACACCAGAAAGAATAATACATTGACACATGGCACACCGCATCTCTTTTCAGGCAACCTGGGCTTCCGAGGTGCAGACATGCCCGAGCCACGGGATAGGGAGTGCGGTGAAGGTATCCAATACCAACACAGCGCTTCAGTTATAAGCAGGCGGCAAGGCGGGTTGATGAGTCAGACAGCGTAAGTTACCTCGCCAGTGCATCCTTAGTCGACACCAACCAAGACGACTATCACCATCACTGTCGTCAATACCTACTTGTAGGTAGTGTGAGTTTTGCTGGCGGTCTGGCCTTTTGGTGCTGGCCTTTTGGTGCTTACATAACGATGCCGCAATCGGCACCAGCTGATAGCACGTGCAATATGGTGATGGGACGGAATAATACTTTTCCGTCTCTCTCTCTCTCTCTGTCCTCGAGTGATAGAGGTGCCAGTAACAATCACCACCAGGTGGTCAGGTAATTGTCCCAAGTGCACAACACAACAGTCTGTTCCACTGTAACTGCCAGGACTGCTTTTCCTTGACCTCAGCTCCTCCAAGCCGACAATGAGTGCAGACGATAGGAAGGACTAGGCGTGCAAAACCTGTCGACCCCAAGAACCCAATGACGGGGAAGCGCCATCTCAGTTACCCGTTCGTTGGTTGTAATCACCATATCGAATACAAATGCAAGGCTTCGACCGTCTGGCAAAACCAGCATGTTTCCCCGATAGGCGATCCATGAACCTGTTCCATTCCGCTCCCGTTGCCTTATCGCTGGGTGGGAAGATGAAGACAACAGTTGACTGAAGAAGCAGAGGCAGAAGCACAGCTTTAAGCAAGGTCGGGCGAAGAAAAACAAGCACCAACTCTTATATGCAGAAGCAATATTCCTTCCTGCCTAAAAAGGGACATTTCAGGGCTGAGATGGAGAAATTCCCATCACTTTATTGGCCTCTCTGCACGATTGGCTTGGTTTAGACTTTGTGAGTTTTACGTACAATTGAGGCTTGCTGGGCTTGTTGGGCGCAGTTGGACCAGCCACTGATCTACAGCACAAACACGAACCAATTCTTTAAATACTTCGAGCACAGCAATTCCTCCAACTTCCCATTCCGGTACCATTTTCGCGCGACAAACCAAAACATGTCACACACTCACGTCGATTGGGCTCTCAGTCGCGGCTTGTTAGTTCCCTAGAATCAAAAGGTCGCCCTTCTCTTTACGAGGACCTCCAACCTAGTAACATGCCAGATTCCAATGCCGATCTTGGGGAGAAGCCGCCATCGCCTTCAACGAGGGCGGCAGACCCGTTCTCATCTCCTTCTCCTCCTTCAATTGAACCTCGACCCGTATCAGCAGACAACGAAGCAGTCGCATCTCGATACCTGATCAAACGGCCCAAAGCGCTACAATGGTTCCACAACGGCAGGCTAGAGCGGGAATCCGAGGAGGAGCGTCAGGCTGGGCGCTTCGAGCTGTTCCTCGACCTACTGTACGTCGCGCTCGTGGCGAACTTCGCAGAGGACCTGGCCGAACACCCGTCTGGCGCCGAACTGGTCAAGTATTTGTTGATCTTTGCGCCAGCGTGGCACATCTGGAGCGACCTGCGCGAGATCATGAACTCGTACTACAACGACGACCTGGTTCAGCGTGGCGTGATCCTGTGGGTCATGGCACTGATGGTGCTCTACGGAAACAACGCCCGGCTTGTTGCAGACGACATTGGCGCCATGAGGACGGTGGTGGGCGCCTTCATGGTAGCCCGCCTAACGGTAGCGGCGGTCTACCTCATCTCCTCGTTCGCCAGCTTCCAGCACCGCACACAAGCCAGAGTCATGGCTGCATTCATCACGGTGGGCGTGCTCATCTGGATCCCTCTATATTTTGAACACGTGAGCTTGCGGGCTAAGATTGCTGTTGCCGTCGTGGGCATCGTCTACCACGAAGTCGCATGGGTCATCACGTTCGGGACCTGGATCAAGAGACACCTGAACCTTGAGTACAGCACCGCCGTGGACATCAACCATGAAATCGATCGACTCGCGGCCTTTTACATCATCATCCTCGGCGAGTATCTGTACAGCATCGTCGTGGGCGATCCTGCCGCAATCGGACTGAATATGGGTCTGTTGAAGGCCGTGTGGACGCTGATCATCGCCTTCTGCCTCAATTGGCTGTACGTGAACGGCGACGGAAGTCTCAGCAGTGTGCACCCGATTCGGCGCTCCGTTACCACAGCGTTCGCCTTCTTTAGTCTGCACATGCCGCTGGCCGCGTCACTCCTGGTCGGCGGTCACATCTGCGCCGTGAGCGCGGGGCAGGCTGAGCTCGACTCAGGCGAGCGCTGGCTGCTAGGCGGCGGACTGGGCGTGGGCATGTTCTGCCTGTGGCTCCTTGCGATGCTGTTTCGCGTGGAAGACTCCTGCGAGCTGATTCTGCCCAAGACGGCCCGCGTCGCCATGAGACTCGTCGTCGCCGTCATCCTGGTCCTCCTACCCCTGGTCCACCACGACCACTTCGACCCCGTGCAGCTGCTGAGCACCGTCACGGGTCTGATCGTCTTCGTCACCGTCTGGGAGACCGTGGGCGGATTGAGGAAGGGATCGAAAGTGTACGAGAAATGGGAAGCGAGGAACCCGCACAGTGACTGAAAGTTTGTATCATATATGTGCCATGTCCATACCCGACCAGTCAGTGAGACCTTCTGGATTTCCTCCTCGGTCCCGTATATAGCCAGGGTAGTGTATACAAAACGCTAGCCCAGACCACTGCTACCCCTCCTTGCACTTGCGGTAGAATATGTGATATATGATTATCAATCCAGACCTGTGGCCATCTATCCACGACCCAGCGTGCTCAGCTTGACGTGGTCCGCCCCCCAAAAACTGTGGGAAAGTGACTTTTTGTAGATAATCTGGTGTCCAGAAACCTCGATAACACTCATTCATACATGCATGCTTTTGATACTTTTCTCTGCATCTCCTTGATATGCCAATGATCTGGTATGGTATGCAATGATATAGGATGGTTCGTCGTTGGCCCTGACAAAAAGAGAGGTGATTATCGCCCCCCAAGAGAAGACATTTCCCTTGATCCCGATGCCCATGATATCGTACAGAGTACATAACCACAAAACATTGAAGCCCATAATGAACCGGAATACTTTTCGATGTTCCCTGCCAGAAAGTATGTTTTTTTTTGGCTTTGAGCGGACCAAATTCAATCGCCCCGCCGTCTTCTCTCCCATGCACTCATCCCTTCCCCTGATCTTCTCTCCTCGCCTGACTCTACAGCTGCCATTCCCTTGTCGTACTCGGCGCTCCCGCTCTGTCTCCTTTCCCTCTCTAGCATCTCGTCAAATTCCCGTTGCGCTTGTTCTCTGGCACGCCCGTCCCTACCAAATCTTGTCTCATTGTTGGACGGGACGCTTTCGTCGCTTTCCCAGTCGCGTTCTGCCATCGGATTCGCACGGGCTTCACGAGCTCGTTCAGTTTCGAGTCTTTGACGGCGAAGTTCGGCGTCAGATGGCGGTGTTGAGGAGTTGGCGGACGAAGGAGAATTGCCCCTTCGAATGCGCTCCCAGACGCTCCCGCCTGCAGACCGCTTGTAAGATGACGGGGTCGCCATATCCGGGTCGTTTCCGGCGGTAGGGGATGCATCGTCAAAGAAGAAGGGGTCGGCGTCGGCTGAGGAGGTGGCGGATGTATTGTCCTGCATCTGCCGTGGTGGTTGGGGTGTTTGATATCCTTGCTGCTGTTTTCTCTCGCGGGCCGTTACTCTAGAGTCATCCAGCATACCAGTGTCGCTCGCTCCGCTGCTGTCACCATCGAAGGTGCGATCGATGACAGAGCCGTCTGGATGACTGCCGCTTTCCATGTCTCTGTAATATGCCTGGGAATCGGGTTGTGCGTCTCGGCCATCATCTTGCCCTTGAGGCTGCTGAGGCCATTCCATCGGGATATTTGAGAGTGTTCGATTCATGTCGCCACGTCCTCTTTCTCGCATTGCCTGGATGAGCCCTTGGGTCCGCGGATCGGTAGCCATGCCTGTGGCTGCACTGAAACTACCTAAAGCTCCAACGACGGGGGTGCCGACCAGGAAACACAGCTCTATCCAGATGATATACCTTGTCACCTGCCAGGCTGTTTGGGCTAATTGACCGGTTATAAGAGGCATCTGTTGAAGAGGGAACTTGTTGTACCGCTCCAAAGGCTTTGCTGAGACGAAAGGGAACTTCATCTTGGCGCGACCTCTGTAAGCCAGGTAGAACCCAAAGGCTGAGGAAGCAAACGTGGCCACGGAACCGTAAAGGAGCCTCCGAGAAGTCCAATATGTCAGAGCTTCCGCCTCTTGTTGGGTGACAGGTCTCTGTACCACGTTTTCAGAGCCACGTATGAGGTCGATAGCTAGGACACC